CTCGGGGCGGGGGTGGAGGTGGGCCTTCCGAGGTCCCGGGGAGCCCGAGCTGGGCTGGGGGCCTGGAGTCGTGAGCGGTCGGGCCGACCTGCTCGGTCCCACCGGGCGTCCGCTGAGCGCGGGACCGGCCTGCCCGAGGAACAAGGAGAGATCCTGTCTCCCCAAACCTACTTTCCGCCCTCTCGGCCGAACAACCCCGCCTCTGTCTTGGGAAGAGAGCAGAGAGATTGTCCTTCCCGTCTAGGCCTGGGGACTGGCCCTTCCGGCCTCGGGGGGAGGGTGCGGGGGAGGGCCTGGAACCTCGCCTGCAGTCCCGAGAGAGCGGACGGTCCTTTCGTGACCATCAGATTTGTTTACACGTTTCCCTCATTGCTCGGCCCCACCTTTCAGGCCCGGTGACTCGGAGCTCCCAAGTGCCTGCCTCGAGAGGCAGGGGCTTTGGGGATCGGCTCAGACGTTTTGATCTTTGGGTCCCCAGGGCCAAACCAGGTGCCTGCCCCGAGGAGGGGGCACGGTAATTCCGTGTTGCTTAGAAGAGGGAATGGCAGTGGGCCATTATTGCCTCTTAACCAGTGAGTAACTCCCCAGGCTTCCCTCCTAACTACTCCCACAGTGACCTTGGTCAGGTCACCCTACCTCTGTGAATCTCTGTTTCTCAATTGACAAAGTAGAGCTGACAACTGCTTTAAAAGGTTATCGTGAGGATCGTTTGAATTCATGTTAAGTGAGTGAATTGGGATGAAGGGCTGGGTCAAATCCCTTTCTTCCCTTCCCACTGACTCGTGTTTTGTGAGTTGGGACTCCAGTTGACTGTTTGTTTTTCAGAATTGAAGCTACAAGATGGCTGACCAGAACCCTGGGGGCATTAGCCCCCTCCAACAAATGGTGGCCTCAGGCACCGGGGCTGTGGTCACCTCCCTCTTCAGTAAGATCTGGGGAGGTGGGGTGGGGGCAGCTGGGGACTAGGGCAGACCAAAGATTGGAGGGGACCTGGTCCTGGAGGAGGGGTCAGGGTTGGGGTCCTTAAGGAGACTTCAGACCTGCTGTCTTCCCCCCAGTGACACCCCTGGACGTGGTGAAGGTACGCTTGCAGTCTCAGCGCCCCTCCGTGGCCGGTGGTGAGTGCCCGACCCTGGAGCCAATATGGGGTGGTGCCTGGGTAAAACAAGGGTCTTCAGGGATGGGGTCCCTGGAGCGGGTGGGGGGGGGG